CGCCGAAACCAGTTTGTCCGCTTAGTTCGCAGTGTTACATCTGCGGAGCGGAGTCCGAGAGGAGGAGGAGCCGGCCACGGTGACGACCGGGATCGAGTCCGGGGAAGTTCGGTTCCAGAAATTAGGTAAGATGAAAAACAGAATCCAAAAAATTAAAAGGAAACGAGTTCACGATGGGGCAAGAACACAGCGAGATCCGAAAACGCGGTCAAAATTGGACAGCTTTTGCAAATCGTCGCTTGGGTTTAGGGAAGGAGGAGGAGGGCAGCTGGGTCGGCCGATCAGTTGTTCAGTCAGTCAGTCGGACTGACGGTCGCTCTACAGCAGCCTCCGGTGGATTTTAACGCGAGAACAGTGCAGGCGCGAACGGCACGCGCTCCCGAGACGTATTTTGCGGCCTCCAGAAACGTCCACGGGGCTACGTTTCCACAATGAGCCCGGGTTGAATAGATGTGTTTGTCAGTTTACAACATATTCCTGGAGTTTTATTTCCATTATTATGTTGATTACTTCCAAAGACTATTAAAAAACATTTACATCTATATCAAATTCAAACCACAAAAAAGCCAAAGCAATGCCACATATTAGCCAGAATTCAACCAAATGAACCAGAACTGATCCTAACTGGGCCACCATTTGCTTTTATTCTACCCCAGATCTGTTCACACATTACACTTACTGTGTGTGGCAAAGTACAAAAATCCCAGCATGCATTGCAGTATGATTACATTCTTTAGCTTACTGATGCTACATTTTTCATTATTTGCTGTTGATTCTGCTGTTTATGTTGATGTAGTTGATTTTGTCACTTTTAGTCTCCTGTTTATGATGTTTGTGAGTTTTGTTCATTTGGTTAATTGTCACCATTGTTGATGTTTATATGCTGATTATTGATGTGTCTGTGAGCAGAAATTCAACCATAGAATTTTTGTAGCTCAAAAACCTTTATAATTCTGTGGCATGAGCAAGCATGTTATCACGGTACTTCTAATAATAGAAATAAACATTGGTTAACATTACTAAATTTAATTATGTCATACAGGTTGTGCCTCAATTAATTTTATTGCTTTTTATTTTTTTACTTGGCTTGTTTGCTATAACGAATTAACTTTTAAAACAAAGTTCTTAAAAGTCACGGCAGCCCAAAATAAAATTTATATTAAGAGGTTCAGGGCTATGAGCCCAACTAAAGCAAACACTTTTCTCCATGATGGAGACTTTAGTCTATGTGGTCCACATATGTTTTAAGATAACTGGGCCACATTTGCCATGGCTTCTCTGGGCCACTATAGGCTCACAGCCGCATTAACCAGAGCGAACTGTGCCGAATATTTGCCAAAAGTGGCCCACATATGTTTTGAAATAACTGGGCCACATTTGCCAAATTTTCTCTGGGCCACTTTAGGCTCACAGCCGCATTAGCCAGAGCTTACTGTGCCAAATATTTGCCAAATGTGGCCCACATATGTTTTAAGATAACTGGGCCACATTTGCCATATCTTCTCTGGGCCACTATAGGTTCAAATCCACATTAGCCATAGCTTACTGTGCCGAATATTCGCTAAATGTGGCCCACATGTGTTTTAAAAATAACTGGGCCACATTTTCCATATCATATCTGGGCCACCATAGGCTAACAGCTGCATTAACCAGAGTTGACTGTGCCGTATATTTGCCAAAAGTGGCCCATATATGTCTTAAGAAATCTGGGCCACATTTGCACCTACACGTGTGAGCTACTTTAAGTTTAGACCCTGATTACCCTTAAATGACTATGCCACATTACTGCCAAATATGGCCCACATTTGTCCTCCATCATTTGGGCCAAATTGACCTTTTTCCACATGGGCCACATTAGGCTCATATTCAGATTACATTTTGCCATAAGTGCCAAATCTTTGGTTTAAATGGCCCATATATGAATTTGAATCTTTGGCCCCCCTTTGCCATTGTACAGTTGGGCCACTTCTGGCTCACATTCATTTTGTCGGGGCCGACGGAATACCACCAGTGCCGCCTAAAGTGGCCCACATTCGTATGCTATCTGGGTTGGTAAGGCAGGTAAACTGGCAATACCTTACACGCATTTGGCATGCCCTGGCTAACGTGAAGAATCAATATACAGTAAGCAGCAGAGGGAGTTGTGACTGTCAGTAATAGGGCGAGGGCACCCTTAACTGACACAACGTCATAGGGATTCAATACAAGATTTCACAGTGATTCTCTATCAGTGCACAAATTGGTGAAACAATTATTAAAATACTGCAAGATGCCATAGGGAATCTCTATTGAACGAATGTTTCACACAGCCTACATCATTACATCATGTCTCTAAGCCTAATTGGACACTGAATGATGCAAGAACTGCAAGGGAAGTCACTACACACCTCAAAACTCATATTTATTTATTTATTTATCTATGTATACAAATTACCTTATTGAGATTGGCCATTTAGAACATCTGAAATGTTCTTTTTAGATTTGAAAACGTGTTAGGAAAATGACGTTATTGCTGTCAGTGTCTTTCACAGATCCAGCTAAAATAGCTTAAAAATATAGATAATATTGTGACAGCATCAAACTGCGTCCTTTCCCCTCTCCCCTCCTCCTGTGTGCTGGCCATTTTAAGGCTGCATTTCTTTAAAAAGACCTTCCATTGAATACAGCTTGAGTAACCCTGACAACGGCTGCCGTCTAATTGGAGGAGAAGTACAGGGGCCACATATCCCTTGGAGGGCACTGAAGCAACAGAGAGATCAAAGTGGAGGAAAAATAAATAAATAAAAAACAATTAATTGAGCGTGAAGGGTTTTTGGATTTTTTTCCCCACTGTTTGAGGGCTGTATTTCAACATGCCCTATTTCTCTGTGAAGAAAATGCTTCAGCTTCTATAACAAACCTCAGCAATGATGGATGAATGTTCATCAATGCAGGAAATACACTAGCTTCCCAAGTCTGGGGTTCACAGATACAGGATGGCTACTAAGAATGAACGTGACTATGTGCGACACTGAAGTGTTCCCCAATGCTCTAACACAGGAAAGACATGACCAGCAGGGGGCAGTTATGTAACAGTGATATAGCAGCACACACTTTGAGATTTACTCAAGTTTATAAATGACATTAAGGGCTCTATTTTGACGGTCCATGCGCAGAGCGCAAAACGCAGGGCGCAAACGCTTTCAGGGCATGTCAGGACGCATTTTTGCTAATTTACGGACGGGAAAATCAGCTTTGCGCCATGGAGCATGGACTAAAAGGGTTGAGTTTATTTTCTTAATGAGTTATAGGTGTGTTTTGAGAATAAACCAATTAGAATCTCATCTCCCATTCCCTTTAAGACCCAGCTGCGTCGCGCCATAAGCGCATTCGCTATTTACAGGACGTAAAGTAAGTCTAAGTGGAAAAACTGAGCATTTCACTAGCAAACAGTTAACAGTTAACAGTAAGAAAACTGTTAAACAGAGCATCTACTGCGTGAGAATGAGAGATAATGGATCACTTTCACTTTCGCTCTTAACCTTTACGCACAGACATCAATTAGTCTATAAATAATTATTGCATTTGTTAAGCGCAAATATTAATTTCAAAAACTATTTCTAAATTCAGTTCTACTATTTCTAATTTCCAGCAAACGAATAAATAACCAACAATAACGAAGTGTGCTCAAAAACCTGAGTTATATCCTAAAACACATGCTGTGCCCCATATGGTCTAAAATCTGACAGGTGGGCAAATCTAAGCTTGTTTTTAATAAAACAAATATAAATATGAATATAATAAATAATACTGCTTATAATAATAACATTATACAAAAGCAAATTGTTATGAATGAACTGAAAAAGCCTCCCGAGATGAAGAAGACATAAAAGCAGTGATTTTTCATATTTATGTAGGCTAGAAAATAATATGTTTTGTAATATTTTAATCCTTTATTTTTATATCCTATATCTATTCTTATTATATCCTATATATATCCTTAATATTTAAATTTTTTCACATGTAAAGATATTTGCCTATTGCTCTCTTGTGCGTATTAAGCAGTGCGTAAGCGAGGCACAACTCTGCGCCGGAGTTTAGACCGGGTTTGTTTTGGTCTAATGAAAAATCTATTATAGTTTCTCAAAATAGCAACGCGCCAGCAGTGCGCCTCAGAACGCCTTCCTTTTTAGACCAGAACGCCTATGGACGCACATATGAGCGCTAATGCATTTGCTTTTTAAACAGCGTAGCGCAACGCCTCAAAACGACTCTTGCGCCAAGCTGAAACTACCAAACAAGTATTGCGCCGCGCCTTGCGCCGGGTGTATGATAGAGCCCTAAGTAGGATAATCATGATGGTCTCGTCAGTTGTAGCATGGTTTGTTCACTGAAAAACAATTTTTCAAAATGTTGTGGAAAACCTAAAAGCACCGTACTTTAACTTCAATGCTACTAGGGTTTTGAATGTTATTTGAATGTCACAAAGGTCTGAGGTTCATTCTCCCACAGCTGCTGTAGCTGTCGCGTTACTGTCTTAAATGTGTGCTCTGCTGTTCCTCTTGTCTTTCAAAGCCTCTCGAAAGCAGCTGGCCAGATGTCATGGCACTAATCGTGGTGGACAAAGGCAGCGGCTTGGCCTGCCACTGTGCGCCGGCTTGATTATTTCAGCATATGGACAATTCAAAGGTCAATTACGAAAGCAATGCAAGCCATGTTGATCAAGAGCGAAGTGGCATTTGCTTTACTTTTGTAGTGTCCTTTCAGTTTTATGCCTTTCCTACCGCAAAAATAAGATCAGTGTTGTAGTTATGAACACCTGTATCCATTTTTGAAAATGTGCATACCTCAATGCTGATTACAAATGACATGGGTAGGAAATAGGAATATTATGTTGTTCCTTGCCTTGCAACTCTTGATTTCTATGAAAACACATGATATCCAGTGGGACTCACAGTAAAGACTCACTTCTCTTTGAGAAACCTCACTTCAGATACAGTAGTCAAAAGGCTACACATTACCTGATGGAAAGTGCTCGTTGATTGGCCAGTTGTCCACCTGTAAAGTAGCATTTCCCCCATTCCTTGTGAAGCGCACCACATGATACTTTCCATCATTGACTTCTGTAGTCATCTCTTTGACGCTGATGTCCACTGTGCCGATGTTAAATGTAACACACACCTTTCCTTCTTCCTGGAAAATAAAATAAAAGAAACAGCCTTGTCAGTCTAACAAAATCAAAACGCAGCTCAATATATCAAAGGTGATATATAGATATATAGATATACACACATGTACTCAAGTAAATAAACTGAATTAATGATGTGCTATCTGCGGAATTCTGCACGCGCAGATTCCGGGTGGGCCTACTGATCAGACACAAAGGTCTGTATCAGAGAGATTACTTGAGTATATGTGTGTATATCTATATTTATTCCATTTTTTTATTAATTTCAGTAATATTATTGACTAATGTGAAAATGTTCATCTGATTTATGCACAATGCAGTTTGTACAGTAATATTTTCTGTCTTTTACTAGATATAATATATGACAAACTTGCTTTATTTACCAAATCAAGTGAATCTAATTGGATTTTCATTTTAAAATATAAAATAATAGTTAAAAAGATATTTTTATTACATATATTATTTCATATATATTATATTCATATCCGCAGAAATCTGCAGATTTTTACCAAAATTCTCAGCAGAAATAGCAAAAAACGTCCGTAGATCCTATCTGGCCCTACGGATCAGATATTGATTAGATGGTACCAGTTGTTTTTTTTATAAAGCTTATGTTTTTCAATCCCACAAAAAAAAAAAAAAAAAAAAAAAAAAAAAAAAAAAATATATATATATATATATATATATATATATATATATATATATATATATACATATATGGAAAATGTCAATCAAAGTTCTTGTAAGAATTAGGACTCCCCCTATCCCCATGTCATGTGAACTGTCAGTGGTTCTCGCAAATATTACAGGTATGGTTGTAATAGTATTTTTTTATTATTATTATTTTTTTTATTATAGTTAAGATATAAAATTTTGTGCATATTATAAAATCATAGCATGTTATCGTGACCTCAATATCACCCAAAACAAATATGTGTAAAAAGATTTATATTTCTTAAGTTTTATACAGCTAAAAGACCCTGGGGTCAAATTGACCCCAAAGAACACTGATGTGACAAAATGTGTAAAGGGCATTGAAAAAAAATAATATCATGTTAAATTTATGTTTACCAAGTTTTCCCATTAAATTAGGAAAAAGCATTCAATCTGTAGCAAAAACAACAACAACTATATATGCACATAGGTTTAACATTGAATGGGGTCAAATTGATAATAAGATAATAGACTGATTTCACACGGCCGCCATTTTTAAAAGCGGAATCAAGGCTGCGGTGGGAAGAAGCATCGGAAGTATCGTTGGGAGTTACATAGGAACGTTGTGTACCTGGCTGTATATCTTATCAGCGAAGAGAGAATGACACATTTATAACGTCCAAGTGACCTGAAGGTCCGTTCTGAATGAATGGTGAAACTAAAAAGGGATATCAGAGCTCATTTTCAGCTAAGTTAAGGCAAATGGCACACGTTAGCAAATGTTTTCTTTCCTAAACACAAGTTTTAGATGCCATTTATCAAACTCAAGTTAATAAACTGATTCTTTCACTATATTAGACTCGTCACGATACTGAATTAAAAGAAAAACTGTCAATTTCCCGCTAACATTTAAGGCATTGTTGATGGTTTTCTTAAAATAGCGCTGATTTGCCATTGTGTTCACATGCTCAACAGAAATGCTTGTGATTGGCTGAGAAGGTCATCAGTTCACCCTCCGCTGTTTACAGAGTACAAACACAGACGAGCGATCTGCTTCTGATGACTAGACTGATCTTCTCGTCTGCTTCGAGCTCCAGTCTCCTTGTATCTGTGTTTACAGTGGGTGAAGAGCGGTAAACTGAGTGCAAACACAGATACACGGAGACTGGAGGGCGAAGTAGCCGTGAAGATCAGTCGAGTCATCCGCGCTCAATGTTAGCGGGAAATGGACGTTTTTAAAACTTCAGTACCGGGACAACACTATTACAGACAACACGATGTGCTACAGAGGACTGCAGGGTTTTATCGCTCACCAGGTTACATAGGCAGGAAAGCGTCCCCACGGTGTTTAACTAGTGCCATAAACTGAAGCCTAGGAGGACACTTGAGATTATTACTCTTATAGATGTTGTTTAATGCTAAATTGCTTTTAATTGTTTAAATTAAACTTCTAAATGATATTAAAATGATGTTCACACCCTTTCTGCATTTTGAAATCTCTGCAACAGCTGGAGGTTTGTAGTCCACAGCATGTTACTACAACGTTTACAGTGCTGGTTCTATACTTCCGGGTTTCTTCCCACCGCAGCCTCGCTTTGGTTCTTTAAAATGGCGGCCGCGTGAAATAAGCGCATAGGAGGGTTAAAGGGCACCTAGGTTATCCCTTTTTTCAGATTTAATATAAGTCTTTTGCGTCTCTAGAATGTGTATATAAAGTTTCAGATCAAAATACCCATCAGATTTTTCATTATACCTTTTACAAGATGCTGTTTTATACTGATTTCCAGCAGGGGGTGGTTTTGTCGTACTGCGCCTTTAAGCCGAGTTCTGCCCGCCTACTGTTTCTACATGCCTCCTCCCTCAGCTGCGTCAGACAACAGACAGACTTAAAGGAAGAAGGTCTCACGTAGCGTTTGTGAGATACTACAGTAAGAACTAATCTTTACTAATCAGTATTGTGAAGTTGCATTGATGAGTCACACACAATATCGTTACAAAGTTAACACACACACACACACACACACAGATACACACAGATACACACGCACACACACGCAGGCAGGCAGACAGACAGACAGAGCGCGCTTAGCTTAATTAAGTCTAACCTCAAGTACTGTGTGGATATCTGTTATGTTAATGTACAAAATAAACCTGATTTAACTTCCACAAACCGGGATTGAAGGGTCTTCTTTTATAATCGTTCTGACACGCGGCTGTGCTGATGAAGTAAAGCTGAAGTAAAACGCCGTAATTAATTACACACATACTCTGTTTTAAAACACTTTAAACATGTGAAACTTACTCTTAATCACATTTGATGATGATTGCTGGTCCTAGCGAACAGAACAGACCTTTTATTCCCGGTTGCTTTGCGTATGTCTGTCTGGTCTTGTTGACATATACACGTGACTACCGGAACATGTTGATGCGCGCAGCTGTCAATCAATTCGGTGGGCGGGGGGATCGCACACCTACGTAATGGTGCGATCGATTTGAAAACAGCTCCAATTGGCCGACCCTTTTTTTTGTAGCGAAATTGAAAAAAAAGGACTGGGTGTGTTCATATCACCCCAGTATGACGGTCTATACACTATACCAACACACAGATCTGTCCAAACAGCTTGAAAAGTAGATTTTTTTGTACCATAGGTGCCCTTTAAGGTCATAAAGTACTCAGCAGGGCGTTTTAGTATAACTGTTGGCCGGCATGTCCTCTCTTTAAATATCCAGGCTGCCGTGATTGACAATTTCAATTACACTGCACTGGCCAACAATGTTTCATTGTCTTTTCAAAGAACGGTGTGATAAAGGTAAATTGTATCCTATCAAAATAAAACCATCCACAATGACAACAAGCCAATGTTACAATCTGTAATAGTCGATTCAAGCTAATGAACAGTATTAACACACTGTGGTAGGATAGCATACATTACATTGCTTTTTCTCATTACAAAGGGGATAGCGCATAAGATTGATGCCTGTTGAAAGTTCCACTTTATTTGATATAAAACCTGATGCCTCTCAGAGGATGGCAGACGTTTAGAAGGTTATTGCTGAATTTTGCTGCAATGGAGAGCATAATGTCTGGTGTTTTGCCACTGTGGGTGGCATCAGGGTAGCCAAGAGTGATAAAAGTAATTTGAGTTGCAGCAGGGGCCAGCACAGATGAAGAAGAGCTCTATCTCTCCCCATGTTATGTGTGCTGACATCCGTAATGAGCTATACAATCCAATTCTGTCCCTCCAATCAATGGTTACAGCGGATAAACAGCCCCAGGCATCTTTTTTTTTTTCGAGAAAGCTTCAACCTTAGTCTCGTGGCATTGAACAATATGCATCCATCATCATCAGTGACCATCAAAACATAGTGAAGGGTAATAGCCTTCAAAACCTCCTAATTCGATTTTAGGCTATGATTAGGTAGCGAACAAGCATTCAGGTCCAAGTTCATTTCCTTTGTTGTAGCTAGCACAAAGTCACAAAAAAGTTTGTGTTAAGACTCTAGAAGAGCAATGAGTTAACAGTGATGCTGAGACTACGCAGTCTTTAACAAGGTCTTCTCCGTGTAGGAACTTTGGTCAGCATACTTTATGTTGACGTCAGAATTATTAGCCCCTCTTTGAATTCTTTTTTAAATACTTCCCAAATGATGCTTAACAGAGCAAGCGAATTTTAACAGTATGTCTAATAATATTTTTTCTTCAGGAGAAAGTCTTATTTGGTTTATTTTGGCTAGAATAAAATCAGTTTTAAATTTTTAAAAAAGCATTTTAAGATTGTTATTATTATTAGCCTCTTTGAGCTATATATATATATATATATATATATATATATATATATATATATATATATATATATATATATATATATATATATATATATATATATATATATATATATATATATATATATATATATATATATATATATATATATATATATATATATATATATATATATATATATATATATATATATATATATATATATATATATATATATATATATATATATATATATATATATATAGATAGACTTCTAGTCGTTGACATAGTGGCGCTGACTAGTGGCAGATCACATGTTTTTTGACCTGAACTACATTGCAGCTTTACACACTAAGGTGGTTCACTGGATGAAACTGCCCTCAGATTATTTAGTCATTTCATTTTTTAAATGTTATTTTTCTTATGTCAGCATCAAAGATTCATGTGAAATTTGAGAGAACTTTAAATCGTCAAACAGATGCTAGTTAGATCCCTATGCTATCCATATGCTAGCCAATCACATTTACACAATCCTAAAAGTAATGTTATTAGCTGTTGTCCCTTGCGAAACGTAGACGCAGACATATT